TATACATATTAGGACCAAACCTAATCTTCTACGGCAAGCTGGTGCCGTTTCTAGAGGACCAGCGGAGATATCTATCACAATGATTTTTCCTTTGGCATCGCCCATGCAGATAGTCCTCGAATTATGACAACTGAGCCCACAATTTCTGCTGTTAAGCGAGACACTTGTTAAGTGAGTTTTGTCCCATGTTACGGCCTTGCTTGCTACAGTCATTAAAGTGAATCACCGCAGTTGATAAGATAATAACCTGGTTTTAAGTGAATCTGGCTCCCCCATTGTCAGGTAGCAAAAGGGGATCACATGACCTTGGGACACAGCAACAGTCATAAGTACAAGCCAGTTGCCAAGCCTCTCGATTTTAATAACATGATCACAGGGACTCTGCAAAGGCCGTGACTGTGAAAAACGGTCGTTAAGTCACATTTTTCGGTGCCGTTGTAACTTTGAACGGTCACTAAAAGAACTACTGTAGATCCAGCATTATCTCTATTTAGCACAGATTATTTGGGGAATGGCAGACCGGTCACTGACAGATCTCAACGATTTCCTGGCTTCTACAAAAAAAAGACACACGTCATTTTCATGAAGACTCAAAAATCATTTATTTTTTAAAAAAACAAAACAGTGAGCCCTTGTTTGTAAAAGGGGGTTCCCACCCCAGGCACTCATAGCCACGAGGGACGTGTGAACGCCACCCTTCCCGTACCCTAGCCAAAAAAAAAAAAAAGATTCTAAAGAAAATTCCAGCAATAAATGTACAGTACATTTTTGTATGTGCAGCTTAGCATCCAATAAACACACCCTTCATTTTTAATTCAGGGGAATGGAAGAAGAAGAAAAAAAAAGAACACCCTTAATTTTATTTTAAACCCCGAAACAGACCAGCTTATTCAAGTTAACCAGCTGCAGTTTTAAGTTACAGAAAAAGTACCTTGTTCTTCCTTTTATAAGTGACAGCCCTTACGGAAGGCACGGGGGTGGCAGGGGGGGGGAAAGAGGAAACTAAAAAAATGAGCTATTTTCACACAGATCAGCCTCTGAGCACCACCAGGCTTGGGGCAGGGGAGGGAAAATAATAACCATCGCCCCATGCCTGGGTTTTTATGAGTGATTTTTTCTTTTTCGGAATGATTCCAACATGAAAAATTACAAGCCATGATTTTTTTTAAAAAAAAAAGACCACTAAACATTTCAGGGCTGGTTTTGAAGATTTAAGTGCCTTCAGAATATACCCCGCCACCGTTCCCAACCTGTTAGACAGATTAGGACTACAAGACCCAGCATTTCCCAGCAGGAAGCCCCATTTTCAGACAAAGACGTTTCCCCGCACCCAAACTACGGCCGTATATGCTCAGATTTGGGGCCACCCATTCAAGCAGGACGAAGCCCCTTCCCTTAAATGTGGATGTCCCTTCCCCACAGCCTCGCCTTTCTGAGCACCCCAGACAGATTGGGGGGGGAAGACTAACAATCCCATCTGCTTCACTGCTAGATGGGGAATGATGGAGAGGGTGGTCCTGAGGTCTTAGTGCAACATACACGATGCACATCCCCAGGCCCAAATAAAAATTTCTTTCAAAAATGTTATTATTTTGGAGGAAAGCTGGAGGGGAAGAGGTGGGGAGGGGGAGCGGGAGGGACCCCACCCCCATCAGAAGGGGACGGAGCAGAAATCGGGGTCTCCCCTACCCCAATACATCTCTCCAGGCTGAATTCCTGCCCTACCAGTTCTCTGGATGACCTAAATCAGCTCAAAGGTGAGTGGACTTCAACTCCCAGAATTCCCCCCTCCTCCTCCTCCTGCCATGTTGGCAGGGGAATTCTGGGAGTCGAAGTCCACCCATCGTTAAGCCGCCAAGGTAAAGAAACACCGAAAAACCCATTTTGGAAGCATTTTGGAGAACGTCCATGGCATGCACACAACTTTAGACAGGCGCCCTTCGCACAGGTTCTCCAAATCCGAAAATATTTCCGAATAACTTTTCACCCAACAGGTGAAATCGGGAGCTTGGAAGGAAACCATCGGAAAAGAAAGAAAGATCAAAGAACTCCGTCACGTGCTCTCCCTCCAAATGTTGGAGAAATTAGGGGGGGGGAATTCTAGCTTTCTGGAGCATCTACGGCTCAAAAAAAAAAAAAAAGTCAAAATGACCTCCCCGACCGCACGATCAAACTTCTGCCTGTTTTTTTAAAATCAATTTTTAATTTTTTAAAAAAACATTTTTTTAAAAAAATTAATATTTAAAATTTTCAAATATTAAAAAAAACAACCACCACACAGATGGGGCTTCGATCACACTATTTTGGCCTCCACCTTGACTTTTTTTTTTCGACCGCAAGCTACGAGACACCCTTGCCACGATTACTGCTGCGCTTTTGGAAATCCAGAAAGGGCTCAGCTGAGCGTGGAGGGACAGGAAGACGTCTGAAAAAGAACATTTTAAGCTGGCTCAGCGCAACCCAGAGGCTCTCCTCCCCCCCCCTCCCCGGGTGGAGGACGCGCCTAGAGCAGGCGTGAGTCACATCTGATCCAGGAGTTCACACCCAGAGTGCAAGCCGCAGTGGAAAACTGCGGACAGAAAATGCAATCTGATTTTTTTTTTTTTGCACCCCACCCCCTTTCTGGGTTAGCACAGCCACCGTTCCCAGCAGCAGTAGCAGCAGAAGAGAAAAAATAAATTCTTCCCTCTTTTTCTCATTCCAGGCTTTCTTCCTCTCCCCCCCCCTCACCTGACCCCAAGGCTTTCCTTCCAAGCTGGTCAAAATTCGAATTTCAAAGATTTGGGTGAGAATTGTGCATCTTTGCCATTTGCAAGGCGGGGGACGAGAAGATCTGAATTAAATGGAGAGGTGGGATTAAAAGAGAAGTGGCAAACCCCCCTTCCATGAATTAAAAGGAGGGGTGGGATTAAAAGAGAAGTTGCAAGCCCCCCTTCCATGAATTAAAAAGAGGGGTGGGATTAAAACAGAAGTTGCAAGCCCCCCTTCCATGAATTAAAAGGAGGGGTGGGATTAAAAGAGAAGTGGCAAGCCCCCCTTCCATGAATTAAAAGGAGGGGTGGGATTAAAACAGAAGTTGCAAGCCTCCTTCCGTGCATCAAGACATGCTTGGAAATTGCTTGGGAAGGGGGAAGCTGAGTCCACACACCCCCACACACTCTCCATGTTGCAGCCAACTTGCAATGCTCCCCAATTCCTCTATGGGCTACTTTGGGGGTCCGTAGGAGGACCTCTGAAGCCCTCTTAGTAAAATAGAGTGAGTTTGTTTTTTTTTTAAAGGGAAAGAGGAATTAAAAACTGCTTAAGAGAGAGGAACGGGAGCAATTCAGCCCAATGGTTCCAGCACTTCAAATTGACCATTGCTTATTATCCACAAAACAGGATTTAAAAAGCGAGCGAGCGAGTGAGCAAACAGGAGGAATTGGGGTTTTTTTTAGCAATGGAAAAGGGCTGAAATTAGAGAGGGGGGATCTTACAACCCCCCCACCCCACCCTTACAGCCTCCTGGTGAAAAACTCCTCTTTGGTTTATGCCAGTGTTTTTCAACTGTGGCCCCTTTAAGAGGCTGGCTGGGGAATTCTGGGAGTTGAAGTCCGCCCATCTTAAAGGGGCCACGGTTGAAAAACACTGCTCTGTGCTGAAGGCCACACAATCTAAGGTGCTGGAAATGAGATTTATGCCCCTATAATGGATCATATCAGTACAATTAAAAACAAAAAAGACGATTTATACCCACCGCTTGGAACTGAACCATCAAAGCGCATTTTTTTTGTTCTCAAGAAACAACGTCCTGCACACGCCCGGGGGGGGAACCCGTAGCCCCCACACACACTCTCGCACACGCCCCTCGAGCAGAGTGAGTGAGTGAGAGAGAGAGAGAGAGAGGTAAATTTCCAAAGATGGGCCCTTTGCTCCGATTCACCAGGCGGGGGGGCCCACCATGGTGCCCGCTGTGCAAACGGTGGCCCGGCATGTTGGCACCATAAGGATCGTGGTCCGTAGATGGCCGTCCCACGGGAAGATGGCCAGTTCTCTTTGATACGGGAACCGAGTCTGGATTCGCCGGTCAAGGAATGTGATGGACGCCCGTTGTGGTCCCTCTTGAGTTGGGAACGTCCCATGTTTATACAGGGGGGGGGGGAAGAGAGAGATCTCTGGAGAGAGCCGTAGGCAGGAATTTGGGGAGAAGACACCCGCCCGGGAACGGCGGCTTCCATTCCACTCCCTCCTCGCAGCGGGCAAACGGGTTTGGTCGGGCGCTAGGCATGCCCGCCCTTGTCTCCTCCAAGCAGGTGGAACAGGTCAGGAGAGAGGCGAGGCCAGACAAGGCCCGGGCAGGGCGTTCCCGGCGGAGACACTGGAAGAGGCAACCTGAGGAAGCAAGCCAATCCGCCAGGAGTTCCCATCCCCATCAAGCGTGGCCTGCCAAGGCAGCACCTTCCTTCCAAACTTCACGGGTCTCCTCTGCCCACCTGGTGTGCCCAAGCAGGGGGATGGCTTCCAGGAGGCCAGGGCAGAGAAAACCCAGTTCCTTGGAGGTGCCAAGCTTTCCCACCTTTAAAAGGGGGCCTGGGGGGGACGACCACCCCCGAGTCGACCCAGAGCTCCTGGAATTGGTCCCAGCCAACGTTCTTCGCGAGGGTCTTCCCTTTGGCGTTAGACTCGACTCATTCGGAAGAGACTCCAGTCCAGAGAAGCAGAGGGCTGGGGGGAATGTCCCGAAGGGGGGAAGATAGGTAGCTATGGATCAAGGGGAGGGGGCAAGGACCCCCTCCCCTCCACTCTTCCCTCCGCAGAAATCAAGGCATCTTCCAAGAGAGAGAAGCAACCAGGATCTTCCAGGCCTCCACCTTTGCCGGTGAGACCCTCCGCCACGAGTTGGGGAAGAATTGAAGAGGAGGGAGGGGGGCAAAGACGGAAGAGAAGGAGCGTCTGAAGGACTCATCGGTGAGGGAGGTGTGCGCGCGCCCGTTTAGCTCTCTGGCCCTCCCCCCCCGAAATTACGATTTGTAGTTAGAAGTAAGCCACATTAAGCCTTCATAGAGTCCTTCCCCCGAGGTGGCGCAAGACGGCTGGACGTACCAATTCCTGTCCCTGATGCGAGTGAGCCCCAATTTCTCCTGGATCTCGTGAGGTTTCATGGCGTCTGGGAGGTCCTGCTTGTTGGCAAAGACCAGGATGATGGCGTCCCTCATCTCGCGGTCGTTGATGATGCGGTGAAGCTCCTGCCGGCCTTCGTCGATCCGATCCCGATCGGCGCAGTCCACCACAAAGATCAAGCCCTGGGTGCCGGTGTAGTAGTGTCTCCAGAGGGGCCGGATCTTGTCCTGGCCCCCCACGTCCCAGACGTTGAACTTGACGTTCTTGTAGGTCACCGAGAGGTGCAACTTCGGGTGCCACCCCTACCACCACTGCCCGACCGGGTTGAACTCGAACATTTCCTACCACCAGAACGGCCGCCGTAGATCCGGGTCGTAGTTTTAGGAGTAGAGGAACAATGGCTTCTAGAACCTATCGTAGAAGGGGTACCGACGTCCGGTCCTGGTGTGTCAGGTATGTTCTGACCTCCCCCTCCCGGAGGGAAAGGGGGAAAGGAAGAGGAGAGAAGAGGGTTGAAAACACAGTAAGAACAGCAGAAGCAATAAACCACCATTTACATGTATCCTGGTCTTGCCAGTGCCTTGATGCACTCCCCGGAGTGCAGCCAGAACGATTAACCAGTGGAACGACTTGCCTCCAGAAGTTGTGGGTGCTTCAACACTGGAGGTTTTTTAAGAAACTGGACAGCCCTTTGTCTGAAATAGTCTAGGCTTCCTGCCTGAGCAGGGGGGGTTGGACTAGAAGATCTCTAAGGTCCCTTCCAACTCTTGTTATTAAAGTCTAACTAAATCCTCTCCCCCACCCCTGGCCAAATCTCTCCCGCCCCTTACCTGGCTATTTCCCTGTTCTCACCTGAGCAGAGCCACGCAGGTGGCAGTTGCCAAGCAGAACTGAGCAAGGCATGGTCTCCTACAGCGAGAATATTATTATTATTTTTTCCAGACAACAAGGGAGGTTCCCTTCTTGTCAACTGGAAAAGTCTGTTCCCTTCCAACTCCAAGTCCCCTTCAGCTAGGTACTTAATGCAGCAAGATAATTTAAGAAGAGACCAGACAACCACTTGTCTGAAGCGATACGTTCTGCTTGAGCAGGGGGTCGGACTAGAGGACCTTTAAGGTCCCTTCCCACACTGTTATTCTGTTAAGGGTGCCAAGGTGAAGGCAGCATATCAGGAATGAATGAATGAATGAATGAATGAATGAATGAATGAATGAAAACCTGTAACATTCACGGAGGTGCCAAGGATCCAAATGGGTACGGCCAATTATTATTATTATTATTATATTTTATTATATACACAGTTCTTCCACAATTCGTAACTCCCCAATTCCAACCTCAAAGAGAGGGGATTTGAGAATCTAAAACAACTTTATTTTACTTTTTTTTAGGTAGTCCTCAATTTGTGACCACCACGGAGCCCAAAATTTCCATTGCTAAGCGAGACAGCTGTTAAGCGAGTCTCGCCCCATTTTACGACCTTTCTCGCCACAGCTGAAGCGAATGACTGCAGCTGTTCAGTTAGTGACAAGGTTGTTAAGTGTATCCGGCTTCCCCCTTCACTTTGCTTGTCCGAAGGTCGCAAAAGGGGATCACGTGACCCTGGGGGGGGGGGGACATTGCGACCGTCACAAGTATGAGTCAGCTGCCGAGCGCCTGAACTCTGATCACGCGACCCTGGGGAGGCCGCAACGGGCCGTAAGTCCCTTTCTTTCAGGGCTGCTGCAACTTTGAATGATCGCTAGGTGCATCGTCGTAAGTCAAGGACCACCTCCCGTTTTTCATCCATCAAACTATCAACCAGCAAAGCAGGGCCAGAATAAATATCTGCCCTCCTCCATAAAAGCCACCTGAAAAAAGTCCTTGACTTACCAGTTCATTTAGTGACCGTTCAAAGTTACAACAGCTCTGAAAAAGGTGGCTTACGAACGTTTTTCACACTTACGACCATTGCATCATCCAAAACTCAGACGCTGGGCAACCGATTCACGTTTATGACGGCCGCAGAGTCCCGAGGTCGCGTGATCCTCTTTTGCGACCTTCGGACAAGCAATGTCAAGGGGGGGGGGGAAGTCAGGCTCATTTAACGAAGCCAGCCGGTTACGAACTTAACACCTGCAGTGATTCTCTTAACAAACGTGGCGAGAAAAGTCATAAAATCGGGCCAAAATTCGCTTAACGACCGTCTTGCTTAGCAACAGAGCTTCTGGGACTTTGAAAAAGGCACGTGCACGTTTCCTTCTCCAGGCAGGAAAAGCAAAGCTGCCCCACGGACGGGGCTGTCCCACCCCAATCCCGTTTCTGCCCCTTTTTCAAAGTCTTTCTTTCCCAAAGTCTCCAGACCAGTTTTCTCCCCCCCCCCGGGGGGGGGGGGGGGGGGGAAGCTGTAACTCTCCAGGTGCACCGGGCGACACCTGCGTATTTGCATTGCAATTAGTCACGCTCTGCAATTAGTGCTGTGATTCAACGGGCGGGACAAGGAATCTCGGGAAAGGGCACAAATTATCAACCGGGCACAAATTATCAACCGCTCTTCCCGCACGCTCTTGCAAAGCGGCTTTTACGGGTAGTCCACAAGGGACCCCAAAGTTTATGTTGTTAAGCGGGACATTTGTCGAGTTGGGTTTTGCCCCGTTTTACGACCTTGTCTTGCCCCAGTCGTTAAGAGAACCACTGCAGTTGATAAGCTGGCCATGGGGATGCTTCAAAGGTCCGTAAGTGTGAAAAAACGGTCATAAGTCCCTTTTTTCGGTGCCGTTGCACTAAATAAACGGTCGTAAGCCGAGGACCACCTGTGTACCCTTCCCTGCCTCCTTGGCCCCCAAATCTTTCTCCTCTTTTCCGTCCCAAGTTCCCAGGCCTTCCGTCTCAGTGTGCAGAGAAAGTCACACACACACACACACACACACACAGGAAGTAACAACATTCAGAGATTCTCAGAAGAGGCGGCCCAACCCACTTTAGGGGCTCCTCCCCCCTCCCCAACTCAGAAAAAAACCCCGAAGGTCACAGTTTTAGAAGCAAAGATACCAAACCACAAAGACATGCGCGGCCGAGCCCAGATCCCTTCCAGAGTCTGCACTTTTAGTCACCTTGCAAGGTGGTTAAGTTTGAGAAAGGGGGAGGAGAAGACCGGCCTGTTCTACAGGTGAACGAAGAGCTGACCTCGGCAAACAATCCTGCCTCTTCATCCTACTAGCTCTCAGCGAGGATGGCGTTTCTATCCCTTTTGGGCCCTACTCTGCAAGGCCAGCGCTTTTTGAAATTCTCCCAAAAACGTGTGGTATAAATTGCCCCCTCCAGTTTTTCAGCCACAAGATAGAAGGACCAACGATATTCAATGACCTTCCTTGTCCAATTCCTGATCACGGGTCTGTTAAGGCCCAAATCCAGGGATCTTCAAACTTGTGGACTTCAACTCCCAGAATTCCTCAGCTGGCTGGGCGTTGAAGTCCCACCAGTCTTAAAGCTGTCAAGTTTGGAGACCCCTGCCCAAATCCACAGGGAGGGCACAAAGTGAAACGAAACCAGCTTCAAAAGGTGACTTTCCAGACCTCATTTCCATCTGGAAACTCATTTCAGGCGGGTTCCCTCCCTCAATTTAAATTTATGCATCGCTGAAGTTCTCACCAGCCTTCCGACACGCTGACTTTCCCATGGGGAGTGTCCCAACTGCCCCCCCCCCACCTCACACACCCGGTTTCACAGGTTCTAAAACTCCCCAAAGTAACCTTCGTTTCTTTTTATCAGACCTTTTTCCGGATGAGTGTTTGCTATTTCAGCTCCAAGATTAAAAGACTGAAAGAGAGAGAGAGAGAGAGAGAGAGAGGGAGAGAGAATAGAAAAGAGGAGGAAGGGAGGGAAGAAGGAAAGGAGAGAAGGAGGAAGGACAGAAAGAGAGAGGGAGGGGAGAAAGAAGAGAGGGAGAAAGGGAAGGGAGAGAAAGAAGAAGGGAGGGAGGAAGGGCTACCTAAATGGAGGGCCAGGTGGGCAAAGTCTCTTTTATAACACACACACACACACACACACACACACACACACACACACACACGTTTCTTCAGAGAGGGAAAAAAATCTGAGCACCCAAACCATTTTCAAGAGAAAACACCCTACTTTAAAAAGTCGCTGCCAACTTTCTCCACCTTCCCCAAATAGCAGCCTTCACAAGGTGTCCCACACCTGCCCGCTCCACTTCTGGCACTTGGGAGGAAGTTTGATGAATCACATGAAAGGCCTGGAAACTTTTTTTTTTCTTTTTTTGGTTTAGAGGGGGAAAAAAGCACCCTCCCCCCCCTTTCAAGCTGGCTTGACGCCTTCGGGCCCAGCTCCAGGCTGACTTAAAGAGCTCCACAGACTCTTCCAATTGGGGGGGGGGGGAGAGGAGGAACCTTCAGTCCGGGGTTTTAAGGGCCCAGCCTGTCCTTGAGCCAGACTGAAATGACCCTGGATGGGGGCACTGACCCCAGCCCACCCTACCCACCCCCAAGCGGGAGGAGGGGGAAGATTGCAGTCTGCGGGGCCGAAGTTGGTTGCTGAACTTCTAAGGAGAAAAAAAGAAAGCAAAAAAAGAGGGGAAAAAGAGGGGATTTTGCTCCAGAAAAAAAAGAGGGGAAAAAAAGGACATTTTGCTCCAGAAAAAAAAAAGAGGAAAAAAAAGGACTTTTTGCTCCAGAGGCTGTTCACAATGCACAACCCGAGAAAACACACACACACACACATACACACACACCCCGCAAACCGCCCCCAAACGAACGTTAGCCCCCCCCCGAAGGAGCCAAACAAGCGAAAGAAGAAGAAACGGCAACATTGTTTCCAAGAAAGGAAATCCTGGGGAGGAAGTCCGGGGCTCCTCCGCCCCGCAGACCGCAACACCCCCCCCTCCCACACGCCCAGCCTCCCGGATCCGGACCGAAGGGCCCTTCTCCGTCCGCCTCCCTCCCTCCCTGCCCCCCCCCCACACACTTTGCACGCGCGGGACAAGAACGCACCGCGCTTCCGGATCCGAACACGTGTCTTCTGCTGCCGCCGCCGCCGCAGCCCTGCCTCCCTGGCTGCCAGCGCCGACCAGTTTTAATTCAAATCCGAGATCCCACCCAAAGCTCCACTCGGGGAAGGCGGCGCCCGGGCGCGCATCCGCCGCTGGGGAGGGGAGGGGGGGGATCTTCCCATCCTCAACTTTGCCCACCCCCTGAAATGCTGCGGAGGGCGGAGCGAGGGCCCCGCTTCCCATCTCCGTCCCCCCCCTCTCCCCCGTCCTGCCTTTGACCTCCAACTTTTCCAAGAACCTCTCCCCCCCCCCCATTTGGGCTGCGAGGGGACGGGAGACCGGGGGGGGTCTCCGCAGAGGTGGGAGGGGGGGTCTGCGAAGAGGAAAGCGGCTGGCTGGCTCTCTCTCTCTCTTTCTCGCGCTCTCTCTCCCTCTCCCATCCCCGCGCACGCCTCCCGGCCGCGCCCCACCACCCAGGGCTGCGTTCGCACGACTCGGCAGACTCGCGTCTTGCCATAAGCGCAGGGCGGGAGGGGCTTTCAAAGGCCGCGCCCCTGGGGAGATGGAGGGAGGGAGGGAGGGAAGGGGGGGGGTTAGGCAAAGGACCCGCCCGGGGCCACGCCTTAAAAGGACCCCCCCCTCTCTCCTTCCCAGGGTCCCCCCCAAACAGGCCAGGTACTCAGCACACACACCCCTCGCCCTCCACTCACCTGGGAAGAGAAGAGGAGGAGGAGGAGGCGACGGCCGAGCAAGGGGCGGGCGGGGGGGGGTCCCCGGTGGTCCGGCTGACTTTCTCCCGGCGCGCGCGGAGGGGAGAAGATCAAAGGCGGCCTTTGGAACGTTGGGGAAACTTTCTCCGGCGGCGTCACAAAGGGAAGCGACCCTCAACGTTCCACGCGGACCCCCCGCAGGGCGCTGC